TACAGACGAAAAGCGCTTTACCATAGCTTTCTGTCATGCGAACAACAGGTAATACTAATATTGAATGTTTTACGTCCCCAAAGCACGGTATACTTATGAAGTACGCCGTAGTGGAGCAGTAACAAAATTTCGACAATCCGGTGTTCTCTACGCGCACTGTACACAGGGCTCCGGTATTTAGCCTTCGTTGAAATGTGACCACCGCTGCCAGAATAGAGTCCACGACGTTCAGCCCAGGAGTCAAATAAAGAACAGTATATACATTTTCTTTTCAATTCATAGCTTCTGTCACTTCATTCAAGTTTTAAGCCCGAAATCAGTAATTTCACCTTCGCTGTTATGGGTATCACATATCCTAACTCTGTTCTTAGGCATCGCACACCCTTCGATACTTATGTCGCAATCTGCATTCCCTATCCCCTGACATCTGACATGTGTGCGATTAAAAGTCGAGTACGCGTCATCAATATGGCAACCATCGCAAGCAAATCTTACAGAATAAATAAAAGCAGTACAAAACAGCGTGCCGCATTTTATATTACCTCAATAATGACCATATATTGATATACCTGCTCCGAAACGCACCTAGTCACTTCCAGCCCTCGAGTCACGTCGCAGAATCGCTCGTGTTTGCCTACTTCACTGCTTCTTTCATCAGTCGTATACAAGAAATACGTTTCTTATCAGCCTGTATGATCATCTTCATGATTAGCTCACGCGTGTCCCATTGCACACATAATTTGTTGTACAGCGGCGTTAAGCAACGCCTTATTCTCACGTGCAATAACCTTGCGGAGTACGCTTCATGACTGCATTGCTTCCTGCTCAGATCGAAAAAATTTTGCGAAAAACTAACCTGCTATTTGCTCTTACATTGTGCGCCTACCGCGTGATAATGGAATTGCAATAAAGCGGCCCTGAAGCAGTTTTTTTAAGTACCTAAGGAATGGAGTCACTAAAAGATCTTGACCCAAGAATCGAACGTAGCAAAAATTATCCTAATCTACCTGGTACTACCAGAGTTACTAAGATGTGTCGCACGCTGCAATCACATTATTTCTTCTGTTGTACCGACGAAAGCGCTAGAAGCTAAGCACGTATCAATGGCTGGTGAAAACAAAAATGCGTCTTGCGTGCTTCGTGACCTTGAAAACTTTTTTTCTTTCTATTTTTTCAAATACACGGCTCTTCCGGTGTGATCGCGCGCAGATGCCTGGACAAGTCGTGGCCTCTGGCGGCGATCCCTGTAGCAACCGAGCGCGCTACAGTAGCTAATGGCTGATAGATGACCTTCTGCCGGTGATTTTTGAGCGTCTTTCGTCATTTGTCGAGAGAAGTGAAAACAATTTTTAGCTGACTTTGATAAGTTATCGTGAGTTTCACGCCACGTGCAACGCCATGTTATTTTGCTCGTGTCTTCTCGGGAGCCACTATTACCTATCATCAGTGTTTTCTGTCCATGCTCGAAAACTGTTGCCGGGCCCCTTCAAAAGGCCAGGCGTGCACGGCCTCGGCGGTCACCACCACCAGTAACGCACTCCCTCACCACAACAAGATTGGCCACTCTGGTGCATTAGCTGGCCACTACGTCTCGCACGTATACGTCAATTAACACACGGCCCTCAGTCCACAGCGGCTACGAAGCAGCTGTCACATCTGCAACACAGCAGAGGGTGCTAGACTCTCTGGGTCCAAACCGACCACGATTGAAACTTAAGCTTGGCAACGTTTATTTCTAGAACCTTATCTGGTGAGGCAAGCCTAGCTGTATTATTCGAGGAGCTAGAGGTTGTTAGCTGGGCTGTAATAGCGCTCAGTGATGTTAAGAGGACGGGTGAGGCCTATACAGTGCTACAAAATGGGTACGTCGTTTGCTATTGTGGCTTGGCTGACAGAAGACAACTCGGCATGGGGGTTCCTTATCCCCAGAAATGAAGTTGGTAACGTAGAGTAATACTATATAAATAATTAAAGGGTGGTAGGTATTGTAATAAAACTCAATAACAGATACAAGATGAAGGTGGCACAGGCTTATGCGTCTACATCCAGCTATGATGGCGTGCTAGTTGAAAGTTTCTACAAAGACTTAGAATCGTCAATGTGGAAGGTAAAAACACAGTATACCATAGTGATAGGCGACTTCAATGGCAAGGTAGGGAAGAAGCAGACAGGAGACTGCAAGCAGTAGGAGACTATGGCATCGGTATTAGAAATGCCAGAGGGTAGACTTCAAACGCAATAATTTACGGATCTTGAATACCTTCTACCTGAAACGAGGAAACCGTAAGCGGACACGGAGAAGCCCTATTGACGAAAGTAAGAATGAAATAGCCTTCATGCTGAATACACACCCAGGCATCATGCCGCATCTGGAAGTGTGTGGCAAGGTACTATGCATTGGCCATAGATTGGTACGGATCCGAATTCGCCTAGACTTGTAGAAGGAATGAGAGAAACTGATACGAGAAAAGCCAATCAATGAGCTAGCACTTAGAAAAAAGGTACAGGAATAGTCTTGCTACAGAACAAATACCCGGCTCTTATCGAGGAAACCAGCCTTAGCGTTGACGGAATGAATGATAATTTGACAAGTATCATTACAGCGTGTGCAGTAGAAGTTCTAGGTATGGTAGTTAGACAGAACACTGGCAAGCTTTCCCAGGAGACAAATAATCTCATCAAGAAACGTCTAATCATGATAGGCTCAAACACAACATACAAAATAGACTGGCAGAGCTTTCGAAGTCGATGAATAAGCGTAAGGTATCCGATGTAAGAAGGTATGACATGGAGAGAATAGCGCACGCTTTAAAGATTGATGATTGATTTGTGGGGTTTAACGTCCCAAAACCACCATATGAATATGAGAGACGCCGTAGTGGAGGGCTCCGGAAATTTCGACCACCTGGGCTTCTTTAACGTGCGCCCAAATCTGAGCACACGGGCCTACAACATTTCCGCCTCCATCGGAAATGCAGCCGCCGCAGCCGGGAGTCGAACCCGTGACCTGCGGGTCAGCAGCCGAGTACCTTAGCCACTAGACCACCGCGGCGGGGCACGCTTTAAAGAACGAAGGAAGCGTCGAAGCGGTGTAGAGAAAACATGGAGTAGGCAAAAACCAGGTGTAAGCACTGAAAGACAAGGAAAGTACAGTAACTACCAATATGGATAGGATAGCTGAAATATGGGAGGAATTTTACACAGATCTGTACAGTAGCCGGGACAAGAACTACCATGGTGCAAGAAATAGCAGTATCCCAGATGACATACCACGACTAATGACAGGAAGAAATTTAAAGAGGCAAAGCTGCTCGTGAGGATTGAGTAACATCAAATCTGCTGAAAGACTTAGGACAGATTGTGTTACTGAATCTAGCCACCCTGTTTACGAAGCGTCGCCTCACCGAGAGGATACCAGAATCTTGGAAGAATGCTAACATCATCTTAGTACATAAGAAAGAAGATGATAATGACTTGAAGAATTACAGGCCGATCAGCTTGTTCTCTGTCATCTACAAGCTATTTACAAAAAAATAGATGTTAACACAAGTTTTTTAACACAACAGAAGCGTTCAGCGTCCTTCATTAAAGGAAAAACAATAGAGTTCAAGATTTTATTGCGACCACATTCATACGGGTTGGCATTAAAAATTGCTTGAAGGGTCAATTAAGTGATTTGAAAGGTTATAGACCAAAACCTAATGTCTACCACTGCATAAAATTCAAACAAAAAAGGGGGAGCAGCAAACCGCATTTTCTGTCATATTTATTGTACTTAGCTGATTCTGTCACAAACCGGGTAGCAATGCAACAATTATTGCTACATCTTCACCTTCACGTGACAATAGCACCACGATTATAAGGCACGTCACCGTCGGGGATACTGATGATTGATTGATTTGTGGGGTTGAACGTCCCAAAACCACCATATGATCATGAGAGACGCCGTAGTGGAGGGCTCCGGAAATTTCGACCACCTGGGGTTCTTTAACGTGCACCAAAATCTGAGCACACGGGCCTACGACATTTCCGCCTGCATCGGAAATGCAGCCGCCGCAGCGGGGATTTGAACCCGCGACCTGCCTCGGGGATACCGGATTAGTTTCTATACCTGCGGTGCTTTAGCGTAGATAATGCCTGAAATACCCGCTGGGCTCAAATGAAACCCCTACCTCGCCGCAGTGGTCTATATTGCTAAGGCACTCCGCTGCTGAGCCGCAGGTTACGGGATCGAATCCTAATTATGGCGGTTGCATTTTCAATGGAGGCGAAAATGCTGTAGGCCCATGTGCTCGGATTTGGGTGCACGTTAAAAAAAACACAAGTGTTCAAAATTTGCGGAGCCGTCCACTACAGCGTTTTTCGCAATCCTATGGTAGTTTTGGGACGGTAAACACCACATATTAATATTAGTATTATTACGATTACTATAAACGAAGCCCAAAACAGCGGCAAGCATTTCAGTGCATGTCGTCTATTCACTTCCATTGACTGCTGTTCTCATATGTCTGCAGGGCTGCCAAACCAAGTTCGCGCGCCTGTCAATCATGATGACTGGAGGGCGCACACCATACTGTAAATGCTCTCCACTGTTCAGGTTTAATTTGACGCCAATAATGCATGTGATAATACATGATAAGTCTACCAAGAATAGGTTTGACAGCATGTGCGAAAAAACGGCAAAAAAGCATCACTTGTTTGGCTATATTTTTAATGTTGAGCTATTTAAAAGAGCGTGGCACTTTCTTCAATAGACACGCTGGTTCCCCGAAGCAAAAAAAAGGCTTGTGCCTTTCAGCCACTGAATTAAGTGGCCTGTGTTCTTCCACTCTCTCAAGCACGTACTGAGTCAGTCAAGCATGTAAAGAAAACAAAAGAGTCTCACCTGATTGCACGGCAGTCGTTGTTTTTTAACATATTGATCTATGGTGTGAAATATTACTACAGCTTGCTGTCAGTTAAAAGAAGCAAGCAAGCAAGTCGCGCATAGCATCACTCACCTATTAAGCCCAGAGCGATCAGAATAATTGCGATGCTCATATTGGTTCCTGTGGTGAACAAGTGCGACGAAAAACACGTCTAAACACGCGTATTAGTGGTGCCTGCTTCGTGCACTCTTCATGCTGCTTGATCGCGCGGTGCAGGCTACCCGAGAGCGGTAGTTCTCGCGGCCAGTCGCCCCTGAAGAAACAATATCTCTGAGAACGAAGTGATAACGGAAAACAATGGTGGGCGGACGATACGGGAAGCAGTGCGATCCGTATTCACTCCATTTTGATAAGTAAGCGTATGAGCGATAAGGGTACGCGTGCCTTTCTACGAACAGCGGCAAGACTGCGTCAGTGTGAATGAGTCGGTTGAACAATCACGTGGTTCGTAGAAGTCACTTTCAGTGTTCAGAACAATTTATTCAGAAAAATAAGCCACTTTCGTAGTAACGGTGCCAACGCAGAAGAAAGTTTGGAGCTGTGCAGCCTGCTTTTTTTTTCTTTGATTTTCTTTTACCTCCTTGTCTTTTTTTCTGTTTTTCTCTATTTTAAATGCCAAGCATTTCTTAGCGAACTACGGCGACATTGAGCGTATCTATCTATCTATCTATCTATCTATCTATCTATCTATCTATCTATCTATCTATCTATCTATCTATCTATCTATCTATCTATCTAGCCGCCTAGGACTTTTACCTCTCCTGGCTGTTTCGATAACGATATCAATACCTAACTTCGTACGGCATAACATGACAGCATGAAGAACATATTTGATTAGTCATAACATGATAATCATGACATGTGTGTGATGTATGTCATAGTGTCAAGATAGTGCACCCGTCAATGTCGAGATAGTGCACCCATCACCGCTAAAAACACACAGGAACTTTCAAACAACTCTAAAAATTGACAACTATGCCCATCTAGCGGAAAACATATCATGCCTTTTCAGAGGTGTTGATCAATCAAACAGCAAACGCTAGATGACGTTGTGCTATCTGTGAGGCATTGTGAGACTCTTTGTGGCCTCCGATATGGCGAGCGCGTGGCGTGTGTCTTGCAGGCAGTGTGACTCTTGCTTTAGATCAAAAAAGCGGTATGTACCTATCACGCGCGCGCACGTGTACGATATGCTGTGTGCGTGTGTGTCTGTGTGCGTGTGTATATGTAGCAAAACATATTAATCATTGTGCACTTAGCGGTTGAAGAGCGCACTAGAGGCCGGATTTAGCTAGCGCGTTCAACTCTTAAAGGCGAAGCTTAAAGGTCCCCCAATTTTTTCACGAACACTTCACTTCTCGCAAGAACGAATCAGATTTATCGTGTCACGGGCAGTCCAGTATAATAACTGATGCACGCAACATACAAAGTAGTTTGTGTTCGTTTCTTCCTAACGCATTAAAACTGAGGCTAGCACCACCTAACAATGGAGCGTTGGGAGCGTCTGCCTACTGATCATTCATTAGAGGACGTTGCTGAATTCCGGTAGGTAGCACGACAGTCTACGGGCATTGCAAATACTCGCAGGTACACCTCGTGCTGCGTTGCATTGGTGCATGCGCGTTTGATCCCTCCCGGTGTCCCTCCATTAGAAAGAGAGGCAGATTACAAAGAGGTGCTGTCTTGGTAACGTCGTCTGCGCGAAATGCACAATGTCGCACTTCGCGCCGGTTGCCGCCGGGCCGCCCCGAAGGACGCTGACCCCGCTGGTCGCGCATGGCGTAAGACTATTGAGTGCTCGCGTTTTGCTCGCGTAGCGTCGCTGCGTCCAGCGTGCGCGCGCGTCACCGTCACGTCGGAGTATAATGTGCCCTTCATGATGCGCTCGCTGCCGTTTCGTTAGCTTCACATACAGCTAATTTGGTATCACGTGACCTGAGTAGACGACGAAGGTAAATGACTCGTTCAAACCGATAATCATTATATGCGTATCATGTAAAACACGACTACAGGCTACGCCGATCACACGCTCGCGGCCGTTTCCCTAGCTCAACTTATACTAAATTCGGCACCAGGTGACCTGAATTGACGATGCTAAATTACACGTCCAAACATGATATTCATGACATGGAAGTCATGTAAGGCATAATATACCTCCACTTCGTAATTTTATGCTGACTTTGAAGTGGTATATCAACTTTCTTCATTCGTGCTACGCCTATCATCGATTCCCAGTGCACGCGAGATCTGCCAATTTTTAAAACGGTTTACGGAATAGTGCTCTTACTATATGACTAATATATTTAACAAATACTTGTGGGACGAGGCGGTTCCAAATGATTGGAAATGTGCTAAGGTAATACAGATAAATAAAGTAGGTGCTAAACACTGTGTACACAACTACAGGTTTGTGTTTTCGGCAAGCACTTGCTGTAAACCACTGGAGAATGTGTCTTCTAAGCAATTGACAGTGTTTCTTAAATAGTACAAAGTAATGGGAGAACAACATGGTTTCAGGCGAGGTTAGTCGGCTCTGATAATTCTTACCGAAGAAACACATATTATTAACCAAGTTTTAGACGACAAAGCGCAAGTTGACTTTATTTTTCTTGTTTTCAGAAAGGCAATCGGCCAAATAAAACATCCGAAAATTGCGGCATCAGCTTAGCCTGGTCCTGCAGAATTATTAACTTGTAAATTGGATAACAGCCTGTTTGACAAAGAGAGAGCAAGTGGTTTGCATTAAAGGCACTAAAAGTACGAGGCGGCAGGTAGGTTCCGGAGTTCCACAGGGCTCTGTCATAGGGCCGCTACTGTTCTTACTGTATATACATGATATGAACAGCGTCTTTTCGCCAGATGTTTTCATCAGGCACCATGCTGACGAGATAGCCATCTACTCATTGGCAAAGTTGAACTAAGACCAGGAAAAGCTTAATGAGCGTCTGGTCATGATAAACTCCAGGTGAAAAAAAATGGCAAATGAAGTTGAAACCTAGCAAAACAATTTTTATGTCGATTACAAAAAAAACAGGCCTTTGTTATTTCGTTATATCTTACATACCGAACCATTCTGCCGTGGGAGAATACAAATACACCAGTGTTTACGTCACAGATAACTTGATCTGTAACCTCCATAGAGGTTATATCTGTGATAAGCTTTGGAAGGGTCTTCGGAGGCTTGTTGACGCGACATCTGTAGTAAAAATTACTATATGTCTTTCTTTGCTTGAATATGCACGCCAGGTATGGAAGCCACATACGTAAAATAACATCGCTAAATGTAAACGGGTTCGAAATAGAGCCTTAAGGTTCAATTTTAATTTCTACCGTAGACGAAATCAGTTACAAGCCTCCAATGAAAAGCTCATATTCTTACATTGCATGAAAGAATGAACATAAACAGCATGAAATTCTTTGTTTCTTTAGATATTCCATAATATTTACAAAACAGAGATAACAAACGTTCTCACTCTAGATCTGTCCCATTCGTTGGTAAAGCACAGTTACCACATTGAACTTTTGAAGCACAACGCTTCAAAATCAATCGAACATTCTTTCATCGTTGACACGTAGATTAAGTTACAGAACGACGTTGTACCATGTAACGAGGTTAAAAATTTCGAAAATGCATTGTTTAAATAATTGTACTGGTGAAAATGTACTTACTCACAGGCTTACCTAAGTTCTGCTGAGTTGGCAGCAATGTGCGTATTGAATGTTGCTTTTTTTTTTCTTTCAAACTTTTTTTTTAACTTGTGCCAAGTTTCAAGGTTTTCTTCCACTATTGAATTGATTTTTGAAACTGCTGCTTTGTGCCCACTTGCGCAACTCCTGTTTCGACATGTGTGCTAAGAGTATAAATAAATAAAAAAAAGTGCCGCCATATCCACGAAGTGAATGATGATGAGTGGGCGAAGCTCTGGAGGTAAACCTAGTAAACCATGAATCCTCCGTACATTTTGCCCGTGCACTCGACTTTATTACAACGCTCCCCGTAGCGTACGTCTCCGCGCTGAATCGAACGATTGCCTTCTACCAATGACATGCGCCATATGTGACATCTTTCCTATTTTATAACATCTTGCATCTTTTAATCATCAGCTACAAGTACTGCCATCCAGTGAACACTGCAAGAACTAAACGAGATGTGGCTACATACAGGGGACGCACAGCCCACGCCTTAAAAAGCTTCTCCCCTAAAGAAATTTATTGACGAGGACACGCCTGCCCACCTTGAACACTATTCTCCAGCTATACACTTATCCCACCCAGCCTATCACTACATGACTCTGCACTGCTGGTCGATCTGGGCGTTGCAGTGGCCTTTTTTAATTTATTTTACTTTATTATCGAAATGGCCGATAGCCCGTCATGTGAAGTTATCGGGTGCAACTAAACACTCGCGCAACTTCTTTGTCAGAGCGCCAACTTCAACCACGAAAGCACAGCCCTCACTGCCGCACTGGGTCTGCTGGGCATCCGCCCTCTCACGGGGCACAAAATACAAAGGCCCTGGTCTACCCAGTATTTAACACAAGCTGCTCTCAGGGCGTTGTTGCGCTTTCTTCAAGTAACTGGACGGAATCAAAATATCTGACCAATTGCAGGAATTGTTGCTGTCTACTATATGGACGCTTTACAATTATGAACATTTTTGTTTGTTCTCATTTCAACCTCTTCTAACTCCTTTACATTGCTTTCTCGTTCCCTAGTACAAGGTGACAATCCGGAGGCTTCCTCTGGTTAACCACCTTGTCTCTTCTTTTTCTTTCTCGCTCTCTCTCTGAATCTTTCTAATACTTCGTGTCTCTCTTAACCCACCATAAACTTTTTTCCACATGCGATTACGTGAGTCTCAGCAGATGCCGTCGACGTTTACGACGTCATGGCGAAGAAATGCGGACATTTAAAGGCGGCCTCACCATTGGTATTTTACTTCCAAACGCTTTCTCGCAGCGTCTCCTCGCGGCAAACATACTGTTCTACGTATTCTGCGATATAAATTTACTGCAACCACAGACTCGTTTTTCTCTTTAATGTTTTTTCAAGTTTTCGCTTGAATGAGGTCAAACGATGGAATGGAAACTATAACTGAGGCTCGGTTGAAACAACGCAGCTATTTGCTTCTGATCATTTTGCTTCAGCACTTCTCGTCAGACCGGTACTTCGTGTATGTTGCTGTTCGTACTGACCAGCCTTGAGGAAGAAATCATAACTAACGAATAGTTGTACCTATATA